TGAAAGAGTGTACCGTACAATGTGAAAGAAAAATTCTGTTTGTTCTGAAGGTAATTATTATTAAAAGATACCTGGTACCTGGCAGTCTGTAGGGATATGCAGCATTTGAAAGCAGTTTTTCCAGTTTCTTACTGCACTCATTTGAAGGTCTTCTTGTCGTCCTCTTAGGTGATGCAAAGAGACATCCTGCCCACAGAGATGGTGTACTCTGTCAAAGACTTTCCACGGCTGGGTCATGTAGTCAAGCTTAACAACGACTCAGACAGTATGGCATCACCCGTGCTGGACTACATTCAGTCTTTCACACAAGAGGACATAAACCTGGGTAGAATCTTTTACGTCTCCGCTTCCCTTCAGGGCCAGGACCACTTTATCGTTGATGTCAGCAATGGCTTCACTACCATAGAAGATCTAGAGGTGCAGGTGGTCATTGTTCCACGCATCATACCCATCCAGGTGGTCAACCTCACAGTGAGGGAGGGTGGATCTGTGGCGCTGACCCAAGAGGTTCTGAATATCACACACCAGTTCTACCGTTCCAAGAACATTGACTTTTTTATGGAGGAAGCACCTCAGCATGGAGATATTAAGTATCTGGATGAAGAAGATGGACTTGACACCTTCACCTGGGAGGATGTGAGTGCCAAAAAATACACAACATTTTAGTATCAGAGGAGCTGTCATTGGCTTTAATTAAAAAGGCGAACAGCCTCATGTAATGGTTTCTCAGAGACTACCAGGATCCCTGCATAGCATTTTGGCATATCACTGAGGAACAGTCAGGCATAAAATAGCATTTTCTGCATCTTAATAACAAGCCATTCACAGAATAACAGCTATTGAGGTGGACCTTGATCATACCTGTCTGATGCTCGCTGTGTTTTAGAGGCTCAAAGAAACAATTTCTCTTTCACCCACTGTCTTTTAAGACTTATCTAAGATCTCTTTGCTTCCAGTGGGCCCCCCAAAACTACTTTGCATTATGATATCTAGCGGAGTGACCCAGAGGTCTTCTAGTGGAAAGAATGAGCAGGGAAAGACCGGCTGTAGAATGAGTATGCTGTTGTTTGAGAGCGGTTAGACATTGCTCTTATGACTGCCGTTCCAGCTTGATGGAAATTCTGACTTGCGCTTCCCTGCTGCCGCGGGCCAGAATAAACTAGCCCATATATCCCGCAAATAAAGCATTTACACCGCGCCACCAGGCGTGCGACTTTGAGATCGGGTTAACTCAGGAGCGATTCAGCTAGAACAGATGAACTTCCCAGGTTATTTTCAACTTCAGGCTCAATTCCTGTGTCACCAAAACAGAATTGCAAATTCCCAGTTTTCAAATAGTGTCAGTTCTATCTGGATATTCAAAAGTTAATGTTAAAAATAATCTTTAATGTAGTGTGTGAGAGACTAGCATCTTCACAACAATTTGTAGCAGGAAAATCATCACAAAGTTTGTTGAAAGATACGTATCTCTCATAATGGCCAACTTTTAAACATCAATAAAACAGCTTGTACACTGCACAAAACTGTTTTTCTTGCTCAATTTCTTAGTCTTGTTTTTCAATAAAATCTTTCAGCATTCTTAAATTGAGATTTACTTGAGAAGCAAAATGGCACGATATATAAAGTCTTCTTCTGACAGAAATATCAAAATTGAGTGACTTAATTCTTAAAAAAAGAACAGATGGATTGCCAATGAGTCCATTTGGCCCCATTGACAGATTTAAAAAATAAAAAATGTTTAGCTATAAACTCACTTCATTTAAAATTTTGTCAGAAAACAAAATGTTATATGTCAAGTAATTTTGCATATCAAGTAA